AATTGTTAACAATACTTGGTACACCATCACTAATGATTACATTATAGAAACCAATAATTGGCTGTTGAATTAATGAGGTTGAGATAAACCGCGGATGACGTTGGACTCCCTTCATATGATACTCCAAACGTATGCTTAAAAACGAAAAGTAAAAGCTTCTGGCAATGTCACTCTTTGCGTATAGGTCACGTAATTTTCGCTACTCCAAAGTTAAAAACAATCTTAAGCACAATACGTGACGTAAAAAGGGGATTTCTCCAAATATATACATAAAGCCCGCGTTGCACAGCAGACCCGAAAAAACAATTTATAAGTTTTAGGACAAGGGATAAAGAGAGTGTACACCAAAATATACCCTTACGAGCTTTACCTATACGCATATAAATGTAAGTAATCGCAAACTCATTAAGTATATTCGTAAGCACGTTATACCCATATAATATAAACCATAGCTCTTACAAGTATAGGTGCAAGAGTACATGCATATATATATATATGTGTGTGTATGGGGGTACGGTTGCCATTAGCGCATTCCGCGGTTTTTCGGCTCCCTTCCGTCCCTTGCGTACACATTGGTGGTATACCTCTATATGTTCACAGCAGAGCGAGGACTTACCGATGCACAATATAAGTATATACCAGAGCTATGGGTGCAGCTTTTACACCGTGGCCACAGCAAGTACACCCATAGGTATATACACCTACCAATAACTCGTGACTCTCTCCCTGTAAGTATTGTACAACCTCTCGGAGCGCCAAAGGGATTTCCCTCTCGTTCGTTCGTTCAACTCCTTTCCGCGTGCCTCCTCTGCTTTTTCTTCTTCCTTTTTTACATACTTACATGTACACATAGGTATATACGAATGGTAGAGTCGTACTTTTTTTTTTTTCCCCCTCCTTTTTTACTCGTTGCTCGGACTTTTCTCTCCCGGGGCTCTATGTATGGATGAAATTATACTGCCCTTACCTGGCGCGGGTAGGGGGGGGGGGGGGGGAGGAGGTGATGGTGCTTTAAATACTTACTCGACCATGCGTGTACTTTGGTCATACCATCAGCGCAGGAATGTCACATTTTGAAATATGATGGATACACGGGGTTCGTTGACTCATTCCGTGTGTATGCGGTAGGTCACACCTCTGCATACTTGCACATCATACCTACTTGGCAAATAAAGTTAATTAATTTTCGCTACGTAATTATATATATATATATATATATATACATATGTCTGTATGTTGTNTGAGATATATATGTATATTATATATAAATGCAAGATGTGTATATTCACTTTTTTTTAATAGTCTGGTGTAATCACGGCAATTGTACAACCCAGTACGCGTTAATCTTATTCGTAATGTATAAGTATGTAAGAAATAAAACATAATATAATAAGTATACATCAGGTGCACATATGTGTATAGCGATATAAAGACTGATTGGAAAGAGACCAGTCTAGCAAGTTGGACATATACATATGTACGCGTGTGCTTTCTCTCTCTCGTTATTACAGCGCCAAGACAGGATTACTCCCAGCTTTTTCAGAAGTGTTGGAGCGATTGATTCATTTGGCCTTTTTTTTATTTTTATTTTTATTTTTTTGTTTCCAGTTGCACGAGTTTCGGTTTGATGTATAAAATGCCCTCTCATACTTTGTCTCCTCTCGTGCGGCAAAAAAGGATAATATAAAGACAATAGCGGTCTTAAACGAAAGGACGCTTGACCATCAGCGATAAGAAAAGATAAGAAAAACAATGAGGTCTCTTTGAGTTTCGATCAGCCCCTTAGTTGTAATCGATCGTTAATATGAGTTATTGCCTATGTAAGTACCATTACCTGCGCTGACGATGGATAGGTCTCGATGGCATTGATGGTTAAAATCGGTGCTCTTTTTCTGTCTCCATATAGCAGTCGGTCGATTAATTAACCACTTCAGTCAAGGGTTTTTTTTTTGCACTCGATTTGGGATTGCTTCGTTGGCCCTGCCAAATGGAACACGATTTATTTGTACCGATCTTCGATGCTCCTTCGAGGATCGATCGGCAAAAAGATGCAATAAGCACATCCTCTGGAAACTGTCCTTTATGACGATTTCACCATTTGTAACTACTGAATGAAAATTGACTTTTCGGTCAATCTTATGTACACATGGAGATAAAAAGATTATTTGTATACCGGTTTTTTGCGCACCATATTCCACAAAAGAGCAAAAGCGCTCATAACGACACGGTAGGTTGCGGCTGGCGGCTCAAGAAAGCACACGAAAGCAAGTGCAAGTAGTATATTATAACAAGAAAAGACTTACTCCTTCGCGCGCGCATCATATATTATTAACACCGCCCAAGTGTTCGGTGCGCCTATGTATTAATGATACATCACCCCTTGGTCCGGAGAGTGTTGTGAATGTCATACATATATATAGGAGAGAGAATAGCTGTTACCACGCTTAGCCGATCTGCATAATTGGACATGCTCGGCAACGCGCTCTAAGTGCAAACCGCCTTAGCCACAAACAACTATATGTATAAATATACGTGTAGGTATGTGTGTATGTGTGTGTAAGGTACTCACCAATACCACCACCACCATTATACCATGATATCACAGCTCCAAGAACCTTTATTTCTTCCTTTATTTTACTTCTGGTACTTACCGATTTTTTTTTTTTTTTTTTCCAATTAAACTGATAACTTCATTTATTTTTAAATATACTATACCGAAGAAACGATATAATTTTGTTTTATTTTTATTACACCCAAGGTATCGCCGTAAATAAATCGACAAGTATACATACCAAAGTAATCTCATTACTTATAATCCCCCTGATGTCCACGGATCATTTGTCCTAATCTTCTCCACCCTATTATGTATAATGAGTATGTGTTTTACGGGGGAGGGGGGGGGGCTGAGGGTATGTATACGTATGACTCCCCGATCCTCTTGGAAAAACCCAGCTGACCGTGAAAATTTCACGCTACGCCGCTATACGATTTATCGGGCTTCCTAATAATTTTTCATTCCCGTTTGTTTTTTTTTTTTTTTTTTTTTTGTTCCCCTCTCAAAGATCCAACTACCTGAAGTATATTATACAGGAAAACACGACGTCTATTGCTTCGGGCCGTACGATCGATTCCCCCGAGGATGAAAATCAATTACTCGAAAGAGAGAGAGAGAGGCATATCGCGTCGAAATTCTTTGAGCCGTACGTACTTACCCACGCATATAGATCGGTAACATTATATATAGAAGGTGCGCATCATCATTATTGTTATTTATTGTTATATGATACATGCAGTGGTAGCCACGCGTTCCTGCGTCCTCTATTATCCGGGAAGAGAGAAAATTGGCCGAAAGGATGAGCTGCGATACATAAATCGGTTCTCCGTGCTTTGCCGATTCCGTGGCGCTATTTGGAAGGTACGGGTACTTACGTTACGGATCGTTGGATTTTTATTTTTTTATCAAATGCGATGAAACGTTTGTGCATCACGTTACAATAATATTTTAAGATTATACTCTAAATTGATGAGTGTATATTCTACATAATTTTTTTTTTTTTTTTTGTTTTTTTTTCTCAAGTATATTAGCAGTCAATGAAAAATCCATGCATCATCCGAATATATAATATTTAATCTGCAGGTACATCGAGAAAAACACAATCAGTGAAATTAAAAATATCCTGTAGCGACACTTTTTTAATTCTGCTGAGATGTGTGCATAGTATAAACACAAGCTAAGATTACATTTTAGGTAGTATAAGGTGTATTGTGTATCCTTTTCCGAATTGGATCGCGTGACTCACATACACCGCAGTAGTGCCGTCAAAGTGGACTTGTTGGGCCATTATTAGGTATACGCATAATAGTTACTTTGGTTTTTGTACTACAGATTGATTGTGCCTATGAACATGTATGAAATCAATTTTTCTAAAACATAATGAAAACACGCATCCCCGTGAGAGGTATCATCGTGTATAAATAATGTATGCATTAACGGTTGGCTCACAAAACATCCATTACCCCACAAAAGGCGTTTCAATAGATTTTTACTCGGGAAAAGGAATCTCAAACAAATCGCCGTTACTTCGCAACTCAAACGCGTACTTAAGGCGCATGTATGCGAGTCTCCTTAAAAGAAGTCACACCAAAAACCATTTATAGGCCCACGTATGTACAAGTCCACGTTTGTTGTTGGCATTAGAATTACAAAAGGTGCGAAGAGTAGAGTAGAAGAGTCTCTCTCTTTTTCCTTAAACGAACAAATCGATGCGGCTTGCTTACCTACTTCGTGACATTTTGTTTGATGGTCATTGCTCGTTAGTATATGTATGTATACGTACCGGTGCGTGTACAAACTTGGCCACCTTGGAACACTTTTCTCTCTCTTTTTTTTTTCCACCGAGTAAGTAGTAGGTACATATACTTAACGAACAAACAAAAAAGTCTCGTTACGCGTTACTACAGCTTCGTGTGTACATGGTATAATCTAATGAATTCCGGGTCCCTGTGAAACTATATTTTGATAATTATATACCGATACTTAAACAAACTCTTTTTTTTTTTTTTTTTTTTTTTCAATACAGTTTGAATTTTCCAAGTTATATGGCTGTTTTGTAATGCGTTACATGTTTTGACATAAAATGCGCACAAATTTCAAAGGAAATATGAAATAAAACCACGGTATCGTGAAATTACGAGGTTAAATCAACAACCAATAACCCAAATGTTTGTACTTCAAAACTCAACAGTATGTATACGTATAAAAATGTCATCATTACTGAATAAACTATGAATCGATTTTTGCAAGTAACGTTTTTTTTGTACCTACCACTTAATAAGTGATTTTCATTTGAAATTCGGGCCTTGTACAGTGACGTCAAACTCCACAGAAAAACTCTCGTACGCGAACGAACCTGTAGAACTTAACTATACTCGAAAACAACCAAACGAACGAACCTAAGCAATTATTTGTTCATTTATTGCTAAAATACTAAATGGTGCACTGTTTTTGTGAAAAAAATATCTACTTACTTTTTGTATGAAGAAGCATCAAGAACGAAAAAATATGATGGAAGAAGAAGAAGAAGAAGAAGAAGAAGAAGAAGAAGAAGAAGAAGAAGAAGAAGAAGATATTCTTCACCAAGCGGTATCCTGTGGCGACCTTGAGCAAGTTGAAGAGTTGTTGAAGAGGTACTTCATGTGTACAAGAATCAACCTAGATCTAACAGAATCTCATGTAAATTATTTTTTTAAATTTATCAGAGACCCGTCTTGTGTGAATCATTGGAACCTCAATAATGTTACACCTCTGTTCATGGTCTACCACACCATTGATCATTCAAATCCTGTACAAGCTGACGATAGGCTGCCAATGATGAAGCTGCTCCTTGATTATGGTGCTGATGTAAATAATAGCTATTTCGAGTTAATACTGCACCAGGTCGTTAAGAAAAAACAGGTAGGATTATTAGTTATCTATGTGAGTTCAATGAAACTTTGACTGCTTGAAATTTCCAGATCAATGGAGTGAAGTTTCTTTTAGAAAATAAAGCTAATCCAAATATCCGGGACTACAACAATCAAACTGCTTTGCACATTGCGGTAACTCTCGGTTTAGAAGAAATTGTTAAGCTGCTTCTAAATCACGAAGCAGAACCCAATGTCGTTGATTGCAAAGATTTAATGCCATTGGATATGGCCTTTCAATCTTATAATTTTTATATTGTGAAGACACTAGTAATGTCAGGGTAAGATCTTCACATTCTTCTTGAATTTGAAGTTTCCATCACCACAGATGGAACTATTCTATTCAATTCATTTTGATTTCATACAGTGCAAAGAGTAGAAACATATACAACAATCTGCTAAGCGCATGTGTACATGTCTCTCAAAGATTGACATACCAACAACTTCCATTCATCGAGTTTTTATCAAGATACGCGAAGGATATGGATGCTCACGACCACTTCTCGCCTGACACTCTGATGCGCTATATGGTATCCAAAAAACATCAAGAAAATCACGTGGAAGGGAAAACGTGTCTCATCCTCGAAATCTTGCTGCAGATAGGAATTGATGTTAACAGCGACATGGCCAGTTCGGACTTGCATTTGGCTGTCCGTGACGGAAATGTTGCAAAAGTCAAAGCTCTTCTTTTGCAGGGAGCAAACGTCAACGCCAAAAATTACTTTAACGAAACACCGCTGCACTCACTGTTCGAAATGAAAAAGGCGAGCGAAGCACGGTACAATATTGCTAGTATGCTTATTGAATCCGGTAATCAATTTTTAACGTTCACGTATGAAACATCAGACGCAATAATGTGCTGAGATCTCATCTGAGAATGTTATCACTTTTGCAGGAGCTGATATGAGCGTGCACAATTTCAATGACGAGACACCATTTTATTTGGCTCGTAACAACGAGAACCTTTTAAAATTGATGCTAGCTAAGCTGACGGGGGTCGACAAAGCGACACTAACTAAGGCTCTTGAACATTCAATGCCTCAATTGATAATTAGCCATAACGAGAATGAGTTTAATCTAAACGTACTTATTGCTGCAATCGCTTTTGGTAACGAAAAGCTCGTCGATCGCTTGCTTGACGTGGTTAACATAAACCAGGCAAATCAGAATCTTTGTCAAGGCATTGCCCTCGCTTTGCACCGCGCCGTCTATCAGCGCTCGTACAGCATCGTTGAGCTACTCCTCGAGGCTGGCTTTCGAACTCACAGGTTTGTCGTTTATTAAACGAAATTATTCACGAATTTACTTGAATTGATAACCGTCTTCTTTTTTTTTTTTAATAGAAACTTTTCCGGATACATAAACAACTCTCTTTCTTATCAGAGTACAGACGACGATTTATTCATAAAGTGCTTATTTTGGGAATACAGAGATATTCCAACCGTGCAGAAGGCGATTATACAGGCCCTCGATGATATCACTGATGACTTTGTTCTAAGCAAATGTACATTTTTATCACTTTTTCACTATATCATTGAATTACGCACAAAAAAGCCAAATGGCTTCTTGGAATCATTAAATGGACTTTATAAATTACATGAGGAGTTGCCGCCAATGATTTTGGAAAACGACGAACTACTGGATGGGCTGGAAGAAGCTTTAATATACAGCTTAACTGTCTTTGACATACTTACAATGAGTTTTTATTCGTTGGTCAAGTTGTTGCATAGAAATGTGCTTATAAATTGCGCGGAATATATCTCCTTTCTGAAAGAAAAGGACGAACGCGATTATTACGAATACGTGATAATAACACGCCTTGATTTAGCTATCAAAACAAGAAAGCTTTGGAATACCGCAAGGGATTCTGTAAACAAAGCTTTCAAGGATGTTCTGAGTCAAACGAGTTTTGAAAGTTTACCAGAAGAAATAATGTGGAATATTTTTGTTCACATCAACATGAGAGACTTGAAAAAAATGGTAGCTTAACTTTAGGAAAAAAAATTATTTTTGTCAATTATCAAGATTTTTGTACTGCTGGCACTACAATTTTGTAAAAAAAAAAAAAAACAAAAAAAAAAAAACTGATGTAGTTGTGATACGTTCAATAATAATTTGCACTCCGGGTTACTATTATCAATCAACGCAAAAACCCCATAAATTCCAATAAAATGATATAATGGAACCGTCATCAGTTTTTGTCTTTTCAATTCAATTATTTGAGATCCTCATTAAATTCTAGACTGAGGCTTTTTAGTTACTTTTGCAATTCGTTGAACGTCACGCACGAGTTTTATTGACTATGTATTCACACACGACCTAATTTGTTTCAACGAAGATTCACTCATCGCAATGTAAGAAGGACATTCGACCTTATCAAAGTAGTTTATAAAAAGAACCAGTACACCTCAACTTGGTACGATGAATTGGGTAACATCAATTAAAACCATAAATTCCAAGTTCTCTCTCACGCGCGAGCATAACGTGAATCATATTACGATTAAATAAATAAAAAGCGATGTTCGCGTTTCGGAAACCTGTTTCGCGCGGGGATTAACTGTAAACTGCGCACTTGATATGCTGAAACACTGAGAGAGTGATCGATAAGGATATGTATTATTACTGACTCACAGATCATTTGTAATACGAGTGCAAAAATTATTAGAGTTTCTAAAATATTTAAAAAATTATTTTTATGATTAGTGTCATTTTAGATTTTTTTAAGTAGGAAAAAAAGATTAAGAGAGTGCAAGATCAGAGATTTTATATGTATATTCTGAGGGCAAGGTGAGCCAGAAGCCAAAGTATGGCGATTCGTATACTCATGCCACGCGATGTCGTTGAACTGAACTTGAACTATAATGAGCGACCTTTTTTTTCGTCAAAATCATCGTGTTGAACAACTGTTTTTTCCGCTACATAATATAATGTTATCAACGCGCGTGACGGGCGTATCCTTTCGAGTCCACGAAAATCGACACAAAGGACAAAGCTCGCTTCGCGATGTCACTTAATTTTTTTATCTCCCACGTACGTTCAAAATTGTAGTTTCTAGAATCTCATGAAAAAAAAAAAAAAAAAAGAAAACTTCTGAGATAGGATGTTTTAGCCAGTAATTCCAGATATCCCAACGAGCACCGATTCATCATCTCCCTGGTACTCGTGCTCGCAACTCTTTTCCCCTCCTTCCCATCGAAGCACACGTACATTTTGGTATTTCCATCTGTGGAGGGTAATTTATCCCACTTCCCTTGGGAGAAAAAAAAAGGAAGCATCGACTTGCTACGTCAAGTCCACCCAAACTCTTGACCGTTTAATTCCTTAGCTCTCAACGTGATAATAACGGCGTTTCGACGATTATCTGCATAAATCTATACTCTTTGCCTCCTCTCCTTCCCTACAGTGTTGTTGTACACATGTACGTTTAAGAAAACGTTAGCGTTATTTTGTACACCCATGTATATATACATAGGGACAAGTGAAAAAGTACAGCAGCTGACGGATAAGTTTACGCAAATTATACACGCTGTCGTTAGCGCGAAACCGCGACTCGAAAGAGATCGCATGTGTGCGCCTGTGCCGTATAGAGTATGGGTGTAACGGTAGATTTATTTCGTGGGTAAGTGTATCTTACGAGAAAAGGGGAGGAGTGTAACGTTTTTTGAAATTACATGGGTGTGTGTACATACCTACTTGTATGTTTTGTTATTTGTACTTTTTAAATCCCTGATTGCTATATTTAATACGCGTATACAGGATTTGAGAAATCGAGTCTTCCACGCGCGCTCCACCGATAGAAATGTGTATCCGATCGTTATTATTTTTATTACTCGATGATCGTAATTTCCAAATAAAATAACATGTACGATTTTATCAAAGATATAAATAGCTCTGATCGGTAAACAATTAAAATCGCAATAACACAACAACAATGCATACCAGGTGTACAGCATAATATACAATTTACGGTAAGCCCATCATGTATCGGTAAAGAGAAATCTATACTACTTTTTATACGATTGGCCCGTAAAACTGTACAGTTCGTCGATGTTTGGCACGAGGAAAAACTTGGTGCATCATCTGAGGTATATACACGCGTAATCCGCGAAACACAACTGCATAGTCGAAAGATTATTGCGTATAAATATGCGTACGTGCGCGCGAGCAGAAAGTCGGCCAATGGCCGCGTAAAATCGGCATACATGTATGTTAGCTGAAACAAAAAAAAAAAAAAAAAAGATACGTAAAATGGCACGCCTCGCTATTTTCTCTCATTCGTATACAGAATAAGGCGCTCTTGAACTTCTCTGCGTGACCGTAATCGGTTGCGTTTATACGGTGCTTATGCAATATGTGTACAAGTATATTTTATAAGGTACGCAGTTACGATGCACATACATGTATCGGCAATTAAGCGAACAAAAACTTCAGTTGGAAGGGCCCTATAAAAAATATTCTAAAATCGCTTCGATGCATGTATGTATACGTATGGATTATATCGGTAGTGGCGCCAAAAATCGGCAAAGTGGCGCTAACGGTACACGTGAATATATTCTCGGGCACGGGGAGTGTGTTCTCATGTTAAGTATCATCCGCACTATCACGAGAACTAACAGTTGCGCACGGAGAGTAGTTTATATGTATAGTATCCAAGTAGGTATATACGTTTCAGGGAAGCGAGAGCATATATAAAGAACTCCCCGGCACTTGGCGCCTCTACGTGTGCCAGCTACGGACATAATTATATGTATGTAGGTTTAAGGAAGAAAGAGATTTAATGGGATAGATAGTATAATTGCTGGAGGGTTGGGAGTTGGCGATAGTGTATTTTGCCCCAAGCCCGATTACGCACGTATGTGATCGGTAAATAGTGTTACCGATCTTTTTTTCTTTTTCTTTTTTTTTTTTTTTCCTAATTACGCAATAAATATATAACCGTATAATTAATGATAACGTTATTTTGTTCACAGAATGATTACTACATGCCACCGAGATCGGCCTGGTCGAGGGTACCACCGCACACGTCGAAGATGAACAGGGCCAGCTCGACCTGGAAAGTCGGCAGCGCGATGCTCATCATAATCGCGATGCTCGTCCTTATAGCCGTCTTCGCCATCGCTGGACTGGCTTTATGGATGGGAGCACTCCGGACAGACACGAAAAGTGGTACGTCTCTCTTTCAAACCATGCATGTATTATGTCTGTACTGATTTTTTTATTATTTGACGACCGGATGATTAAATGACGACGCGTTGCAGCGATCGTTGGCTTCGTGGGCAGCTTCAGGGTGACGAGGGGCGAGAAGTTCAATCCCATGCTGAAGCTCAACACGAGCATGGTGTTTCGAGAGAAGGAACAAAAGTACAGGAACATCGTAAGTCGATGAGCGTATTTTTTTTTCCTTTTTTTTTTTTCTTCGAGACGAACGTGTCACGGATGTACGTATTTTCAGTTCGAGCTGCTGTTCCGGAGAAGTTTGCTGGGTCCGTCCTACAAGCAGACTATCATCGACAAGTTCGAAAACAACACTCTCAAGGTCTTCTTCAGGCTGTACCTGGACAGGAGGAAGATCCCGAGATCGATAACCAACGTCGAGGACACGATCGTCGACATCATTGCCAAGGAGACCTACTCGGTGGCCTCGCTGTTCAAGGACATGGAACTCGACCTCACGAGCATCATCGTCAAAAGTAGCTGCCGACATTGTTGTCCTACAATTTTCACTTCTTTATTGATGAAAACAAACAAATGACTGTTTTTCACTTCAACAGGGATAAACCCCGATGGCGTGCCGAGTCCGAGCAAGCCGCCAGCCCCGACGCAGCAGCGCAACACGATGATCACCAAAAATGGAATTCTGCGTCCAAATCGCAACATATCCATCATCACGAACCCGAAACTCAAGTCTAAGCCCGAAGCCGTGGAGACGCAGGTAGATCCCGAGTCGGAGATTGACTTTGCCAACATACCGACGATCAAGGGCACCTACACCGCGACCAAGATAAACGCCAGCTCGGCTGGTAAGAAACCAGAACCTGCCGACGAGTCCAAACCGTCGAGAAGCACAACCACCACCACCACCACCACCACTGAGGTGAGCACTACAGTGGATGTAACTAGCTCGACCATGTCCTCAACCACGACAACGACGACGGTAAAGCCTAGCAGCAGTACGAGCGAGAAAGCAGCGCTGGACCTTCATTTCAACGAGTTCCACGAGCCTGATTTCGAGACCTCGCCCTGGCGGCCAATCATACCGCCGTACCTCAACGCGGACGTTAAGCCCGGTCTGAACGTCGTTACGACATCGTCGACGACCACCTCTACGACCACGACGACGAGCACGGCGAGGCCAAAGATCGATGATACAGGTGACTTTATCGTTACAATTCATATACGCGTACTACGTCTATGAAACTAGCAATCTTACCAATAACGATTCCTCAGCCGATGTGAAGAAGCAGTCGAGTCTGCCCTCGAGCAACACCCTTTTACCGCCGATGCTGATCACAGTGGACGAGGATAGTGTCTTTCCGCACGACCGCATAGTCCCCCAGGAGATGATCAATTTCCGGGTGAACGGCAAATTCAAGGACAAAATGCCCGACAGCGCGCCCCCGGTCGAGGTGTCCAGCAGCGGCCCCGAAGACGAGACTAGTGTCCAGGTGTCGAGCTTCCCAGGTTTCTATGACGAGACGGACGAGCAGCCGACTTTGCTCACGGGCATCGGCGTCGCTGAGCCCGTCCTCGACTCCGAACTAGGTATACTCATTACACTTTTGGTGATATTATTGCAACTATTGGAGAATCAAATGCGTGACTACAGTGATTCTATTCGAAATACAGAATTGGAGAGTAGGAACAAGTACAGCGACATCGTGGCCGAGGATCCGGTAGAGGACACCAGCAGGCAGCCGGTCTACACGAGCTACAGGACGCCTGACCTCAACGGCGGTTCAAAACCGCCCCTCGTCCGGGTGCCTGGAACTTTGAAGCCCTTCAGTCACACCATACCCGTGGACAAGATCAACATCCCGGCAAACGACGAAGCCGCCGAGCCCGTGAAAATCGAAAAACCAATAATCACCAAGGGCCAGGGTATGATACCGAACCTCGAGAGGATCGTGGAGATCGAGACGTTTGTCAAGGACGCCAGTGAGGAGCAGAAGAACGCGACGGCCTCCAACGCCGATGGGGCCCCCAAGACGACGACAGTTGAGCCCGTTGGCGATAACAACGAGAACGGGACCAGGAACTCGACCTTCATCAAGGTCGACATAATCAAGCACGTACCGACCGCGACTAATCTCACCGGTGAGAGCTCCACTCCTGAGAGCCCAAAGAACCCCCACAACGACACCTTGAAGCCCAACGTGGTGATCGAGCTAGTGACTCTGGCCCCTGTAAAAAGCAACATAGGTAAGGCGTTGAGCAATTTTTTCAACCAAATGATGAAATAAAAACACATGTGTATACTCATCGACGTGCGTATTCAAGGTGGTGTCGGACAGCCGGTGGGTCCACGGCCAAAGGTGGACCAGGAGAGCCGCCCCCAAGTGACCGAGTCGGAGAACAGGACGCTGAACTCCAGCAACCCGGATGACACAGATCTGCTCGACCAGCTGTTCGGTCTGCAGAGCGCCGGTCCACCCAAACCGGAGAACAATAAGCCGGCAGTCGAGCAGATCGTCGAGGTGGTGACCTCCATAAGCACAAAAATCTCATCGAGTATCAAGGCCGACCAGATGATCCTGAAGCTCGTGATCAGCAATGCTACGTCCGACGACAACTCGACGGAGTCGACCCAGCAGCTCAACTCCGACCGGAAGATCGCGGCCACGCACCAGGACAAGGACCAGTTCCTCGTCGAGAGTCTGCGTAAGCTCGCGGAGGTACGGACCGGCGACGAGCCACCGCTCGTTAAACGTCCCAGGAACGAATCGGCGCCACCACCGGTGCGGCTCCAGAGGCCGGAGAACCTCCTGGACCTCGAGAAACTAAAAAAAATCGCCGACGTGGTAGCCAACGCGACCGGTACCAACTTTACCCTCAGCAGGGATGGCGTGCCCGTGATGACGAAGCCGCTCATCAGAGCCGAGGAGAGGAGTGACAAGATGATGCCCGCTACAGAGGAAAAACGAACACGTGAGTGCTCTTTTTTTTTTTTTTTTTTTTTTTTTTCTTATTTTGATGTAACTATAATAACAACGAAACTCACATCTCATTGTTATTCGTTGAATTACAGAAACAGTGGGGACGTGCACGGGTTACCGGTGTGGCGACGGCAAGTGCCTACCGGCTGGCGCGCGCTGCAACATGCTCGGCGAGTGTTCCGGCGCGGAGGACGAGGCCAATTGCACTTGCGCCGATTTCCTTAGGGCCCAGGAGCCCGGGAGTAAGATCTGCGATGGCACCGTCGACTGCTGGGACTACTCCGATGAGACGGACTGCGGTGCGCATCAGCTTTTTCTTTCTTCGCTATGTACATATATACGTACATTCTCCTTGTATAGCATGTGTGCACGGTTTGCCGATCCAACAGATTGGTGCCAAGCCAGCCAGTTCGTGTGCGGCAACAGCAGGACCTGCGTAGATCAGTCCCGGGTGTGCGACGGTGAACGCGACTGTCCACACGGGGAGGACGAGAAGCGCTGTGCCGCCCTGATAGACGACGAACCAAAATTCTCGAGTTCGAGCGACTCGAGGACGTACCGTGACTTTTTCGCCAAGGGGAGTAGTCGCGAGCCGAACGATGACGACAACGAGGAGGAGGAGGAGGAGAGTACCACGGTAGGGACGGACGTGCAGGTGTCGGGACGGGAGATATCGCCGTCGAAACTGGGGAAGAATGGCCTGACGAGGGGAGCCCCGAGGCCGGAGGTGGGATCAGCCACGCCATTCGCGAGGGCTGGGATGGAACTGAGCAGTTACAACGACCAGGGCTTTCTGAGCGTCAGGAAGAACGGCAAGTGGGGCAGGCTGTGTCTCAGCGACTCGGGGGGTCTGCTGCAGCGTGGCAAGCTCAGCTGGACCATAGAGGATCTCGGCAGAGCCGTCTGCAGGGCCATCACCTATCGGTAAGTTTTTCTTGTTTCTATAATTTCGGTGCGTTTTTGTAAGTTAGTTGGTTGACTTTTTGTTTTTGGTTTTGGAAATAACAGAGACTTCGACAAAGCAGAGGTGCAAGGGGACAAGGCATCGATCGAAAAGACGTACTACAGTCTGGCGCTCAACGACGACAGGACGACCGACAGGACGAGCTTGACTTTTAAGAGGACCAAGTGCTCGGGTGGCCAGGTACTCAGGGTAAAGTGCAAGAACTTTGAGTGCGGCATCAGGACCCAAGTGCCATCTCAGGCAAGGTACGGTACTGAAGCTCGAGAGCTTGATACAATCAGACACTGGTTCGATTTTTTGTCTCACTGTGCTGAGGATTCCGACACTTGAAATCTAAAATCAAATAATTCAAGGCACCGCTCTGGTCGTTATTACAGGATCGTCGGGGGTGGCAGCTCGTCGGCCGGTAGTTGGCCCTGGCAAGTGGCGCTCTACAAGGAGGGAGACTACCAGTGTGGCGGGGCCATCATCGGCGACAGGTGGATCGTTTCGGCAGCGCACTGTTTCTACCGGTAATCGACTAGTTTGATCTTTTCGTTACATCTTCTGTTTCTCCAACTCATGACTAACGAAAACTCACGTCGCATCAGAGCCCAAGACGAGCACTGGGTAGCGCGAATCGGTGCCACGCGCAAGGGCAGCTTCCCCAGTCCGTACGAGCAAGTCATCCGGGTGGACTACATCCTGCTGCACCCGGAGTACGTGGACAACGGCTTCATCAACGACATAGCCCTGTTGAGGCTCGAGAAACCACTCGAGTTCAGCGATTACGTGAGACCCGTTTGTCTTCCCGCTGCGGAACCCGAGAGCGGCGCCATCGGTACCGCCACCGGCTGGGGTCAGCTCTACGAGATCGGACGCATGTTCCGTAAGAATCGACTTTTTACTTTGAAATTCGTGGAAATAATATGCGACGGTTGTAATCATGGCTTTTCGAAACAGCTGACACTCTGCAGGAAGTAGAGTTGCCCTTGATCTCGACTGAGGAGTGCCGCAGAAAGACGCTCTTCCTGCCTCTGTATAGGATCACTTCGGGAATGATCTGCGCCGGTGTTAAGGATGGTGGGAGGGACGCTTGCCTCGGGGACAGCGGCGGTCCGCTTGTCTCTCTGGAGTCGGATAACAAGTACACCTTGCACGGTAATGCTGCTGCTCCTGTTGTAATTTCACCAGAGAAAATTTGTTTCGTTTAAAATGTATATACTTATTGGTATTCCTTACCCATCTAATCGCAGGTATAACGTCAAACGGTTATGGATGCGGTCGTCCGGATCGACCGGGAGTCTATACCAAGGTGTACCACTACATGGGCTGGATCGAGAGAGTCATGTCGCGGACGGATGTGCCGTCGACGGTGACGAGTTGCAAGGGCCATCGGTGCCCTCTTGGCGAGTGTCTGCCCCGTTCGAGGGTCTGCAATGGATACCTGGAGTGCAGCGATGGTAGTGATGAGCGCAACTGCAGCTCGTCGACTCAGTAACTACGAGACTTTTTGTATTATTAACGTAATAATTATTACTCTTCCATGCAAAGACTGAACTTTTTTTTAATTTTTATTAGTCGATATATTAGTATACGTATGTATGAAAGTATTAGAAATAGAGGAAGATTAATACTAAGTTTGCTGAAAAATTTAAAGGGCTGAGGTGTGAACAATGATCTATATGATGAAAATTTTTAATTAAACGTACTAGTAAGATATTTTAAGGATCATCTGTAAATATTAAGTAGTTAGTGATTTTTTACATTATTTATGAAACACTACGATATATATTATCATTGATCATTGGTTCAGTGGAATAAGGTGTTGTTTCGTTTTTGGGTTTGGAGTTTGGAGACGATATCTCAATTTTTAATGTATTGGAAAAGATAATTTACGCAAGGTAGTAAGTTAGTACGAAAATTTATGTATTAATAAACTGTTGGAAAAAAGTTTAAAAGAATTTAATATATGTATAATTTAGTGTACAATTAAAAATGGTGCCTCTTAAACTTAGAAATGCCAAACTCCATTTTTCATCTCAGCAATGAAATGATAGTAAACACTTAATAATTGCCTGTTTAACTCTAAGATAATTATCATGTACTTTGCTAGACATAATTGAATTTGTATATAATTAGTCCTAGTTGAATGAGTGAATAATAAATTTATACTAATTTTGTCAATTAAACGTACCAAATTATTTACATTGATCATGAGGCATGCTAAATAATTTTCAAACGAGTATTTTTAAAATCTTGATTGACTCGCTCAAGTTACTATTTTACAATAATAAACGCTTTTTGCTAAAAGTATAATTACACTAGGTAAATAATTTATTTTTCATTAACAATTGTTCACATTAAAGTCCTTTGGAACACGATATATTTCGAATTTCAACTTAGATTTTAAGCAACTTATGATACTATTTATAAATAGTACGAGATTCGAGAAATATATGAGAAAATGTTTAACAAAGTATAACTTATGTATTTAACTTAGGTAATGTGATTCAATAAAAATGTATACTTTACCTACATTTACAATTAAAAAAAAAAAAAAAAAAAAAACTTCTAAATATAGATAATGATTGTATATATGAATAAATATAAATTTCATGATATAATGTGTGCATTTAAATTGTTCCCAATCCATATCATTTTTAAGAAGTTTATGAGTTGGTTCGAATATTTGGTTGTTTTATTTGAAAAATACATATTACTAGATTTACATATTATATACACGTATTACTGAATAAAAAAATCACTCCATCAATATAGATTTTAACATAATTCATTTTTTCTAGTGTTAATTATCTTAGTACACAGTTATGTATTAAAAAAAAAAAAATGATTTAGTAAAATAATGGCTTAAATTTATTTTTTGCTAGTTACTGTATCTCACTTTTCTAAATATTTTCTTTAATCACTTTACTAAAATAATATACATCAACACACTAACACTCCTTAAAAGAACCAGCACATTTCAGAGTTCTTAAAAAACGATTTTACTGAAAGTACCTCATCAAAACCAACAATTTACAATTGTACCTGACAAGATAAATTTTTACAGGAAAACGTGATTCCGTAACAATATACCATTCCTTATTAGTAGCATCGAAATTATGAGTTCTGAGTTTTTAAATTTCAATGGAACTTATTATGGTAAGCACAATCGTTTACACATGTACAAATCGTCCATATTAACAAGAATAAGTTCATAGTTTCGTTGTTAATAAGAATAAAAGTATGTTCAAGTCATTCCTTACTCTCTTGTTTGAATATATTCAAGAATTTCCCCCTTGTCATTTCCTTTGCCTCCTCCAAGCCCAATTGATAGGCTGTGTCGTGAAGCTTCTTAACTTCAGCAACTAGTTCGTGCACAGTCAAATTTCCTAACTGATGCAGGTGATTAAGATCCTCAGCTGTGAAATTGGTAGACCATAAGGGAGTCTCGATTTGAGGCGAGGAGTTATTTTGCGTGACGAACTTTGTCATGGCATGCTCAGGCCACAAGTCCGGAGAAGCTCTGTCCATCTTTTCTAGGCTGATGAGGCTCTCTTCTGCAGTGGGTATCTCGCTTCTCTCGATTTCGGTTTCCTCTATTATTTCTTTGTCCATCTTGCGCTGCTGTAAAAATTTTAAATACGTCAAATTTTAATACAAGATTAACACAAAATTCACTGACGTGTGAAACTTGGCTAGTACATTCATCAACAAGTAATTGGTTGTTTACCTCATAAATATCAATTATTGAAACTTTTTCGAAAAAATAACACACACGACAAGCAACAGCTAACTTTTGTACTGTTTTCAACTTAATCAACGAATCGTTTTTTGCAACTAACGTACCTACTTGAAAAACCACAAGTTAACAAAGGCGACGTTTAGGAGTTTCGTGTGTTGTCATCTTTTCCCGCGTTAGGTAAGGTTAGTTTTTTCCATTTTCCATGACACAAAAAAAACATGCGCGCGCGCGCGTGCCAGCAAAATGAGCGGTATTTTTAAGTTTTTACAAAATTATGTTGCGAAATCAACGAATGGTTGGTTAATAAATTTAATGCATCCAATAGATACATCACAAAAGCGTCACTTAATTACAAATCACTTATAATTGAAAAAAATATGTATTAATATTTCGCAAAAAAAAATACACAAATTGCTTGCTCAAAAAACAAAAAGACATCACTAAGAGAAAGAGAGAAAGAGAGAGAGAGAGAAATAGAGAGATAAGTTTCAGTTCAAATTCAATACCTATCTCAAATCTCAAGTAACGATAAACATTCAAGTAAGTTTATACTTGTTAAGTCAGAATATAAAATAAAAAAAGTACTTATCATCAGTCTTAATACGTCGAATCTCGTTGAGTGTTTACAGAGTATACATACTTATGACTTTCAGTTTTTCTCGTTAATAAGTAGTTATTGCCTGTCTCTGCAGGCACTGTAGTGTAGGCTGTAGAAGCACACGCATATATATGTGTTTCACATTCTCACAGAATACCTGGTAAAATAATAGATGGGCCCTATGCCCATTGTATATTCAAATCACATTAATTGTCTTTGTCTACAGCTTTGTCTTTGAACGTAACTTGAAATACGACCCACATTATTGTTTAGTTGGATATTTGACAACAAGTTTAACTAATAATCTTTTATTTGGTAAGTGTCATATAAACATTATTCTGTCTTGTATGCAATTTTTTTTTGCATGTGCATGCACATTTTACGTATGCATATATAGGTATACGCAAACGCAATTGCGCTCAATAGCACTCTCCCACTGATTCTGCTAATGTCACATGCAAGTAATATATTAGCTGTAAAAGCCTTGAAAGACTTGAAGCTTATTTTCAAATAAAGTACTTGATAAAAGTACCAAGTCATAATGTGCGTATCTGCGTAATCTTTTTTTCTTCACTTCTAAGTTTCAAAGATGTTTTATAACATACAGGTATAGTCATATAGTGCCATAATAAAGCGTGCGCGTGCAGTATAGCTTCACTTGGTTTAGCTCCTGGGGTTTGATGGGGTTCTCCACTCGTTCGAGACCATCACCGGTTTCCCGGCCGCAACTCTATTATACCTATTTTTATATATAGTTTATAAGCTTCTCTGGTTTGCTCTTGAGTTTTATTTGGTCGTCGATAATTTACAAGAAATAACAAAGTATTCTTAGTGTTATTGAATCGAATAGAGACAACAACTGTAAGTACTTATTAAACATACATTTATTATTGGTACTTACTTCCTTGGTAACGTACTCCTTCCAATAGTGCTGAACTTTGCAGATTTAAAAAAAAAAATAAATAAAAGTGAGAGGTCCTGATACTTATTAATGAACGAATAAACATTCATACTGATGCCCTCAATCTTTATGATTTTGATCCATGGAATAGCCAAACATTCGGATTAATGAGAATATGTGTGTGTATGCTTGTGTTTTGTAACATTCGTTTATGAATGTAAACAGAGATTGTAAAAACAAAAATGTACTAGCCATTAAAGATTTCAAGTATGTATTAGTATTCTGTGCTGTACTGCTGTGTTGTTGTTATTATTGTTATTATAATTAATACAGAGCACATTGATAACTTGAATTGCTGAGTAAAATTGACTATATAGGTGGTAGGATATTTGTATTGAATTGACAAGTGATGATTCTTATGTTTTTTTTAATAGTTATAACATTTTTGTTTTCGTAATCGAAGCATCAGTAAATGACAAAGTGTTCGTATTTTTTTAACTTGTTGCAGATTAATAACTAACATATAATTTTAATTTGCTTGCAAACGAAAGCAAGAGAGAAATGAGCAGTAGCGAGTCTGATTCTAGTAATGCTGACAATGACCACTATGATTACGGATCAAGACTATGTACGTGTGTGCTTTCAGATAATAAGAGTGAATCTTCAGAGACGACTGATTTTGGAGACTCTGTAACTGAGGAATCTTCTAGCGAAGAAGAGCTTAATCAGGATTTAAAAAAAATCTGTTATATAAGTGTCTCCAATACTAAAGAACAAAAAGATACTTTTTTTATTTGTAATTACAAAGAGATCCTAGAATATCGGAAGAAGCTTAAAAAGTATAATCAGAAAAATATAAGTGATGTTCATTTTCTTTGGGGCGAGGTTAAAGCCCGTATTCCAGGGCACATTTACGTGCCTGTTCCGTTAAAAACGTATGACAAAAGCTTGTGTGACGAGTCCAAAAAAGAAAGCGTTAGCAGTAACAAAAGTAAAAATACCGTTCAAGACAATAAATATAACAAAGCTAATATTCTTAGTAAAAGTAAAAAGAAAGTTGTTAAAAAACCAGATGAAAATCAGATTGCTAAAATAATAAACAACTTGTTGTCTAATGAGAAAAAAACCGATGACAAAAAAGTTATTAATAATAAAAATATAGTATCCAATACCAAAAATACTGTGGCTGCAGAAATTAGTAAAGAAAAAAAATCTTTAGGAACAAGTACACAGGATAAATCTGTGCAGTCTGATAAATCTATTTCAAATAACAACAAACCTACAATAGTTATAAAAGAAATAATAGAATTAGAAAAACCAGAATCACTCGTAAAACCAGTTGTGAAAGAAGAAACTATAAAGTCTAATGAAAAACACCTTGATAAAGAAAAATCATCAACCTTACCACAATTAACACAAACTGAAAAATTTGATGAGAAAACTAAAACCTCTAAATCAGACGAAAATCAAGTGAAAGCACAAGTAGTACAGAGTGCAAAAAAAAATAGAAAAAATAATCTGAAACAAGAAATTGTGAAAGAAAATTCTGTTAAACCCAATACTGGAAAACTAGCAATAGTTGATGCGACTAATAGTGATACTACTAAAAAAAAATTAACTGCAACTGTTTCTACTAATAAAAAGCTGACAGTAGCAGAACCTCTCAAAAACAAGCTCACAGATTTGATTGAAAATAAATCAACTGCAACTGACTCTCCTAAATCCAAGCCATCATATTCTACAAAAAATAAATTAGCAACAGTCACTTCTGGTAAAAATAATTCAACTACAGCTGATTCCTCTAAGAATAAGTCTACAGATAGTAAAGGGAAATCGAGTGTTACTGAGACAATTAAAAATAAATCAATAGAGTCCACAAAAAACAAATCAACTGTAGCGGACTTAACTCAGAATAATTCAACCAATTCTATCAAAAATAAATCATCTTTAGATGCCACTAAGAATAATTCAAGTGTAATTGATTTAGCTAAAACTAAGTCAATAAATATAAAAAATAAAGCAACTGTAGCTGACTCTTCTACGAATAGTTCAACTGTGACTGATTTAACTCGGAGTAAGTCAGCAAATTCGGTCCAAGATAAATCGGCTGAGACTGACTCTAAAAAAAATAAGAACAAATCTGAAAATAAATCTACCAAAAACAAATCAACAAATTCTGTTGAAAATACATTAAATACAGCAAGTTTAACTGATTCGTCTCAAGATAAGCTAATCTTGTCCGGCAAAACTGAAAGTAGCCTAACAAGTGAAATTGCAAAGGATAAGACGCCAATACCGGGTAATACCGATAAGGATAAAGTTGAGGATATAAATTCTGTTGAGCATCTTTCAAAGAGGCAACGCAAAAAACTAAATAAAAAGAAACAAGAAGCCAGTGTAGAGGCAGATCCTTCAATCCCTCCCAAAGTAACTGTAGCAATTACAGAGGTGCCGGAAACTGAGAGCAACGAAATAATTGATCATCAAAACTCGCCAAACACCATCAAGAAGAAAATGTCGGATTCCTGGAGTAACGATGACGATATTGAATTGGAAAAAATGATAGCAGATAAGGATAATATACCAGCCTTTTATACGAAGCTTTTCAAAAAGGAGAAAAGTCACAAAGTAAAATCTAAGAAAACTTCATCGCTTCCCCGATCAGCTGCGTACGATACGAATGGAAGCTCCGAAAGCGATATTGACGAATTTCAAATCAAAGTAAACACATTTATTTAGAATTTCGTATATTTTTATATTTTTCTTGATTAACTGACCCTTAAATTTTTTTCAGAAAAAACGTACAAAAAATACCGTAATTGCTAAAGTTAACATTGAAGAGAGTGAAAAATGTGGAGCTCAAGCCATTGAAATGATATTGAACAATAATTTAACCAGCGCAATCAACTGTTTAACTAAAGCTATGTCCCTAAATCCATCAGACTATCGTCATTACTTGAATCGAAGCTATTGCTATTTGAGAGTTGAAAAACCGTCCTAGTATGGAAATTCGTTAATTGATAAAAATACTTGAAAAACTGAAACAAACGAGTAAAATACATAAAAAAATTTTTGTTTCAGTGCTCTCAGTGATGCCCAAACTGTGATTCAAAGCACTAAAAATTTGGGCTTCTTATTCATGGCAAATTTACGTGCAGGACAATCAGAACACATATTGAAGGTATAAGGCAAGCGAAATTAAGTCATACAAGTACTAAAATTTACTGTTGATTGTTTAATTTACAGAAATATCCGCAATCTGAGACATTCTTAAGAGAAGCTCTCAGTATCTATCCGGATAGTCCGCACGCACAAAGGGAACTTTTACGCGTTCAAATTGCGCGTATTATGGAGCACGATCATCCGGAAAAGCATGCTATATTTGCTCTTGAAAAATTTAATTCCACAGCGGTATGAATAACAATTTATATTTTATTTACTTTTCATCCTGTTTTATGGTGTAAGTAAATGAAACCCTGCTTGTTTCAGGATGCAATTAAATATTTAAAGGACAATTACATTCCCAAAGGTAACGACAGTGAACCTGAGACATTTTTATTTGATAGTGAGTACGACAATCAAGTAATTGACGAGTCCAATATGGAAAACAGCTATGCCGAGGCTTTGAATAGATTGATGACAGTTAGGCCTGAAACAAAGTTACGTCACGTCGCTCAACCATTTCTTTCATGGTACCGTTTAGCATTTTGTTTTTTACTCCAATATGTAAAACGCGTATGTTATATTTTATGTTTAATTTTTCAGGTTGCGACCATCTTCGTCCGGATCGGACAAGTCAAAAACTTCTTCAAACACGTCATTGTACGGCAAAAATGTGCAGGTAACCCAGAATGCAGTGTGGGTTGGAAATTTGACTGAACAAATTACGGAACAAATGATTAAAAAAGCCTTCAGATCGTAAGTTTACTGCATACTCTAAATAACAAAATCTCTTTGCAATAAATATTTATTGATGATCATTTGAAATTTTCAAAGGTATGGTCCGGTCTTGTCTGTTCATCGCCCAGAAGGAAAAGCATTCGGTTTCGTTAACTTTGAAAAAACAGAGGATGCAACTAAATTGTTAAAAAATACAGGTAGCGTTAATATTAACGGTATCGAGTGTTTATTGCGCGCTGCCATCCGAAAAGATTGAAGGAATTAAATTTACATTTTAAATATATAACTTAATATGCGCTTCTTTAAATATATTTTAATAACTACTTATAAATCATCAATGTTCTCAATCTTCTAGCTTATACGATTTATAACATTGAGAGTTGAACGTTCACTTTTTATTTATTTGGTATAAGTTGGTATTTTTAAGTATCTTAAGTATCACACGTGATCTCATGTTTAAAAAAATATGATTCATATTGGGTGTTATTCAAGTACATTTTTCTTATGATTTCAGCCTGTTTGGCTAAATTAATGATACAATGCTTTCAAAATAAAAAATTGCATATTGGTTTGATATTGCCGTGCATACATCTATTGTTAGATTAGATGTATTAAAATAATTAACATATACTTTGCTTCTATCATAAAGTAAAACAATTTAATCTTAGATTAAAATTATAAACAATTTTGTCAATTAATATTACAAGTATTATTAATATTAATATGTACAGAATAAAATTTAAACAACTAAAACACTCGTCTTTGATTTCATTAACCTTAGCTTATTCCTCGAGTCGAATTTTTTTCTTTGACGGTACTTCCTCATCATCCTGGTCATCATTTGTATTACTAATTCTATCTCCTCTACTAAACTGTTCTGCTTCGCTGATGGCTCGTTTGCCAGCTTCTCCGCAGCAGTAAGAATTTTTTATCGTCGAGTGACAGCACTTGTAGCCCCACTGACCCTCGCTCCAATATGATCCAAACACCGACGTATGGTTGTTGGTATACACATCCTCGTCGTATCTTGAACGAATCACCTGTCTCTCTTGGCCTTTGATGATCTGCGAATAATGGATTATATATTTATTTATAATTTTAAACCTGGAGGTGACTTTAATTACAGTGTTCCAGGGAGAGTGACGGAATTATTACAGTTCCATTAAATTAAGCTACATCTACGTTCTTAGCATAAGCAGTAATTCTGTGTATGAAGTTGTGACTTACGTTTCCAGTGCGCGAGTATTCGACGTACTCTTCAGTCTGGGCCAACAGAAGGGCAGGGGGTGGAGCATCCAAGTGCTCTTTACCACCATATTTTTCAATAACCGTGTCCCGTGCGGTTTTTTTAAGCTCTTCTTTCTTTTTGTCAAATTCGTGCTTCAGTAGCTCGATTTTCGTAGGCTCAGCTAGCAGATGCACACTAACACCCTTTTCGTGCGCTTCCCATGCAAATAACTGCGCGGTGGCGTGATTTTGTGTATCTCCTGTAAATCGAGCTGCATTTTCACCCATATAGCCGACCCTGAAACGTCAAATATTTTGTAAAATACATTGTAACTATTTCAACTTTACGAAATCAACAATAATTTTATGTAGGATAACTTACTCCTCCCTTTCGGTACCAGCATAAGGATTGTCGCGCATAGACCGCGTCTTGGGATCGTAGTATGCCGAGTTAGGATCGAGATTCCGAAGGTACTTGGCCGTGTCTTCTCTGATCCTCAAGTTTCTCACTGTGATGCGCTGCTTGCTATCTACCTTGGTACCCGGCATGTCCACCTCATCGACGTATTTATCCTCGTCAGCATCGGAATATTGCTCATCTTCCTCCTTTTCCTTCTCTTTCTCCTCCTCATCCTCACCACCTTTAGAGTTGAGCTTCTCAGCTCTCAACTGTTTCTTGGCCTCCTCGACCTTTTGATACTCTTCCACAATTGCTCTGTGCTCCGATGGATCATATCCAGCCCACCTATTGAAATGAAAATCAGTGTTTGCATCTATCTATGTAGATAACAATTTTACAACAAAATCACATCAAAGAACCGTACCTATCGCGTTTACCGTCATAATCAAGTGCCAAATTAGGCTGTACAAACTCATCGGGTGCTATGTTAGCATTGTTGTACTTTGCCAGTGTTTTACGAGGTCTCTCGAAGCAGTCTTTTCTTTTGTGACCCAAGGCCCCGCAATTCTCGCAAGCACCTTTGCGATACTTTGTTGAAACCTTGTTGGTGGTACCCTTACTGTACCACTCGTCGATTTCACTGAATTTTTTTTGTTTCTCCGGCTGTGGTCGCTGGTGCTTTAGAGTTGGCCCCTACATTAATAGATGAATATATGTGTTAAAAATCATTTTTCAGCCCCGTAGGACGTATGTATAACCTTGACAAACAAGCAAAAACAGACCTGTGCTCCAAAATACCAAGGGGTCGAGCTGATGTACTGTGGAATGTGTGGATTGATGTCCCTACCCTCCTCGTCGACGGCAGCTGGTGCTGTACCAGCTTTCCTCGCTTCCTCGAGTTCTTTAGCCTTGCGCCAGTCCTCGCGGCTCTTCTTCCTCGGCTCATCCTCGAACTCATTCGCATTTTTTAGTATTTGCGACACTGGTGCGTTCGTCACTTGATTGGCCATGGTGTTTGTTTACCTGAGTTTTTGGGAAAATAAAATTTAACAGTATTGAAACTCGTCGTCGTCTGTCTAAGTATCTAAACTATGAAGAGGTAAGTAAAGACGTAAAGAGCCTGCACTTGTACTCTGCTGGTACTCTCTCTCTCTCTCTCTCTCTCTCCTGGGATTGACTGAAATTACAATACTCTCGCAAATTTCAAAATTCTCCACTTTATGTATGTAAATTTACATCTTACATTGATAATTGGCGCTTCGATATATCAAAGCTATCTCCTATATGTTGCACATTAATTATTAATTTAATTTACATTCACCAATTTTCACCATTAACACACATTTAACACACATTTTTTATGTATAAGTATATTTATATTTTTGGAGGACGACTTTTGGGTAAAAAATAAATTGTAAACTTGCCGCAAGTAGCACAAACAATGTTAACTTTTTATTATATATCTATAAAATTAGTTGCGGCTGGCTTATAATTAATTGATTGGCTCTAATAAAAGAAGTAATAATTATTTCGATCAGCGCCATCTAGCGTTGCGGATTTCTGAACTAAAAAGTGGCCCTAAACTTTTGAGCCAGAGCTTTAGCTCGTAGAGCCATTTAGTCAGTTATAAACCAGCCGCAACTTATGATAAAACTATAGAATGAAAAAAAAAACGATACCTGTGTTTTGGGCGGCAAGTTAACAATCTATTTTCTACCAAAAAATCGACCTCCTATGTGTTTATACTTTTGAAGATCAATTTTCAAGCATAAAATAGATTGTTAGCTTGCCGCCAAAAACACATGTATTATTACTTTTTTATTTTATAGCTTTATCATGAGTTGCGGCTGGTTTGTAATTGACTAAATGGCTCAAATCCTGAATGCTCTGGTTGAGAATTTTAGGAGCCACTTTTGGCCAAAAAATAAAGACCGCTAGATGGCGCTGATCCAAAATAATTATTGCTATTGCTACTTACAGTAAAGTCACTTTATTAGTTATAAACCAGCCGCAACAAATCTTATAGATAGATAATAAAAAGTAAACATTTTTTGTGCACTTGCGGCAAGTTTACAATTTATCTTTTACCTTAAAATCGACCTCCAAAACTATCAATATTCTACTTATCTTATATGGCTCATAAAATCGACAATATTTACCAAATTACAATACTCTTGACCTTTTACCATTAACTCATGCAAGCACAAGTTAATCAGTCCAAAAGAGACAACCGAAGAAAAAGGGTCTTAAAAAGAAGCAGTCACACGAAGAGTCTCCTAGGAATGAAGCATTGGATCTCACTTGATCAGAGAAGGTTGGGTTCTTTGTTTACTTATAACACTTCAAACTTACAGCTCTGTAACAAATGTATTTTTCAGTTAGTGAGATCCAATGCTCCATTCCTAGGAGACTCTTCCTGTGACTGCTTCTTTTTAAGACCTTTTTTCTTCGGTTGTCTCTTTTCGACTGATTAATTTACGTGTATATTTGATCGTGATTTACGATTTCTGTAACACAAATTTTGCCATGTACATATTATATAAGTTAACTGTTTATTGGAAATCTAAAGTTGAAGGGCTGTTCTTTCATTAGTTAATGGTAAAAGGTATAGAGTATTGTAATTTTGTAAATATTGTCGATTTTATGAGCCATATAAGATAAGTAGAATGTTGATAGTTTTGGAGGTCGATTTTAAGGTAAAAGATAAATTGTAAACTTGCCGCAAGTGCACAAAAAATGTTAACTTTTTATTATCTATCTCTTATATTCGTTGCGGCTGGTTTATAACTAATAAAGTGACTTTAGTGTAAGTAGCGATAATTATTTTGGATCAGCGCCATCTAGCGGTCTTTATTTTTTGGCCAAAAGTGGCTCCTAAAATTCTAAATCAGAGCATTCAGGATTAGAGCCATTTAGTCAATTATAAACCAGCCGCAACTCATGACGAAGCTATAAAATAAAAAAATAACGAAACATGTGTTTTTTGCGGCAAGTTATCAATCCATCTTATGCTTGAAAATTTATCTTTAAAAGTATAAACACATAGGAGGTCGATTTTTTGGTAGAAAATAGATTGTTAACTTGCCGCCAAAAATACATGTATCGTAATTTTTTTGTTTTATAGCTTCGTCATGAGTTGCGGCTGGTTTATAATTAACTAAGTGGCTCTAATCCTGAATGCTCTGATTTAGAATTTTAGGAGCCACTTTTGGCCAAAAAATAAAGACCGCTAGATGACGCTGATCCAAAATAATTATCGCTACTTACACTAAAGTCACTTTATTAGTTATAAACCAGCCGCAACGAAGTTAAGAGATAGATAATAAAAAGTTAACATTTTTTGTGCACTTGCGGCAAGTTTACAATCTATTTTTTACCCAAAAGTCGACCTCCAAAAATATAGACATTCATATGGTTTAATAAAATCGACCATATGGCATTACTTAGTAGTAATTACTTTAATTACTACACATAACTTCACGTACATCTTACACCGTGCTCTCTTTACCAGAATGATAAAATCAGAGGCTGTAAAGTTACGTATGTCAGGTCGTGGTGGTAACGCCGCATAAAGTCAGAGGCTGTGTTCCGCAAATGGTGCTGCCAGCAGAAGTCACGTTCACGTTTTATTCACGTACGTCGTGGTTACAGGTAACGCCGCATGGTTGAGCGGCGCTAGCGTCTACCTGTACTAACTGTGACTTTTATTATTAAAATACTTACTGTTGTTAAACGTAATATAGTACTTAATTAAAAATGAGCCGAAGCAGTATTTTATTAAATGTGGCATTAAATATGATTAAATTTCGTTGTTTTGATTTTCTTTGATCCTCTAATAATTCAATATTCTCAAAAAGGTTATAATTTTCAAAATCATAAAATTTTGAGGTATTAAATAAGTAAATGAATTTGCTGTATTTAGTAATCAAATAATCCCAATCGCTGTGAAAGTAACTGAACAGTAAGATGTACAGATCCATAGTTAGTGGTGAACTTTTTAAAAATAATTGTATTTTAATTTTTGACAGTTAAACATTGACAATTGATTTTTGTAAGCAGCAAAATGGTCAGCAACAAAGAAACAATGCTGGTGCAGCGATGTACCGAAATCGCATGAATGGCAGACAACAGGAACGCATTCATCAACCAGACCCGGATGTTGACTTGGCTAAGGCAACAATAATGGAACAGTTCAAAGAATCCTGGCTCACAGCAATCATTGGATTCATATTGTTTGCTACAGGAATGTGCTTATTTGTATGGAACGAGGTAACGTTTTCCTGTTGTCTATTCAATACCAAAAATATTATAAAAAAAAACTTATACACAATGCGTTTTAGGGTAGAGCAGTGAAAATGGCTTATTCGTTGGATGAAGCTTTGAATAACATTGCTGTCATTCAAAGCGATTTGAAGCCAATGTCTGAATTTGAAAATCGCTTGGCCTATCTATCTGGACCCTTGTCGGTGTCAGAACCACTGACAGAGCCTGATTACAATATCATGATCACTTGTGTCAAATTAAAAAGAAAGGCCCAAATGTATCAGTGGGTAGAAATAGAAGAGGACCAAAAGTATTTTCCATCAAATAGTTTTCTACAAGTTTCAGATTGTTTCAAATCTCGATTAATAATAACAAAAAAAATTTCATCAGTTTTCCTGGCTCAACTGAACCAGTGAAGCACTATTATTACACAACAGAGTGGAAGGACAAGTTGATCGACCACAACGACTTTTATATCAAACACGGTCATGAAAATCCAACAGACATGCTGATCAAGAGTCAGGTGCAGATAGCCATGGACGCGAGAATAGGCAATTTTGGGCTCAGTGACGATCTCAAGGACAAATTCAATGATTTTGTGGGAGTGACGAGTGACGAGAGGCCCGAGCGTCCTGATATCAAAATGCATGCTGGAATTTATTACCACAGCTCGGATTTGTGGGTGCCAAAAGTCGGGGATATCAGAGTACTAATTTCCTATGCTGGAAAAGCTGGTGATCACTATTCTGTCGTTGGAAGGCTAGTTAATGGAGTTATAGAACCGTACGTAACTTCGCACGGCCATGAGATTTTACTGTTAAGAAAAGGTGAAATTTCAGTTAATCAGATGTTCCATTTGGAACACGTTGATAATTATTGGAGAACGTGGGCAATAAGGTACGTAAAAGTATTAAGAGTAAAATTTTTACCCCCTTATATAAGAATTAAACTTAATACAAATAAATGGATATTAACCCTCTCAGAGGATTGGGCTGGCTCGTAATGTTCCTGGCCGCGACATGTCTTGCTAACATCTTGAAGATCATTATAGTGAACTCTAATGTCTTGTGTGGTATAATAGCTGTGGAGTCTCTTACCATGTCGGTGTCAATATCCCTAAGTCTTCTAGTCATTGGTTTTGCGTGGGTTTGGTATAGACCAGTTATTGGTCTAGGATTAGCTTTAACATCCGTCTTACCATTTATATACTCAACAATGGGATCAGATGCAACGGTTCCACCAGCTCAACAACAGAGGGATTACAGGAGGCTTTAAGATTTTCTCACATATTTTGTAGATTTTTCATGTTAAATAAATATTATTTATTGTATGTTTATCAACAATGATTCATATTGGGTGTTATTCAAGTACATTTTTCTTATGATTTCAGCCTGTTTGGCTAAATTAATGATACAATGCTTTCAAAATAAAAAATTGCATATTGGTTTGATATTGCCGTGCATACATCTATTGTTAGATTAGATGTATTAAAATAATTAACATATACTTTGCTTCTATCATAAAGTAAAACAATTTAATCTTAGATTAAAATTATAAACAATTTTGTCAATTAATATTACAAGTATTATTAATATTAATATGTACAGAATAAAATTTAAACAACTAAAACACTCGTCTTTGATTTCATTAACCTTAGCTTATTCCTCGAGTCGAATTTTTTTCTTTGACGGTACTTCCTCATCATCCTGGTCATCATTTGTATTACTAATTCTATCTCCTCTACTAAACTGTTCTGCTTCGCTGATGGCTCGTTTGCCAGCTTCTCCGCAGCAGTAAGAATTTTTTATCGTCGAGTGACAGCACTTGTAGCCCCACTGACCCTCGCTCCAATATGATCCAAACACCGACGTATGGTTGTTGGTATACACATCCTCGTCGTATCTTGAACGAATCACCTGTCTCTCTTGGCCTTTGATGATCTGCGAATAATGGATTATATATTTATTTATAATTTTAAACCTGGAGGTGACTTTAATTACAGTGTTCCAGGGAGAGTGACGGAATTATTACAGTTCCATTAAATTAAGCTACATCTACGTTCTTAGCATAAGCAGTAATTCTGTGTATGAAGTTGTGACTTACGTTTCCAGTGCGCGAGTATTCGACGTACTCTTCAGTCTGGGCCAACAGAAGGGCAGGGGGTGGAGCATCCAAGTGCTCTTTACCACCATATTTTTCAATAACCGTGTCCCGTGCGGTTTTTTTAAGCTCTTCTTTCTTTTTGTCAAATTCGTGCTTCAGTAGCTCGATTTTCGTAGGCTCAGCTAGCAGATGCACACTAACACCCTTTTCGTGCGCTTCCCATGCAAATAACTGCGCGGTGGCGTGATTTTGTGTATCTCCTGTAAATCGAGCTGCATTTTCACCCATATAGCCGACCCTGAAACGTCAAATATTTTGTAAAATACATTGTAACTATTTCAACTTTACGAAATCAACAATAATTTTATGTAGGATAACTTACTCCTCCCTTTCGGTACCAGCATAAGGATTGTCGCGCATAGACCGCGTCTTGGGATCGTAGTATGCCGAGTTAGGATCGAGATTCCGAAGGTACTTGGCCGTGTCTTCTCTGATCCTCAAGTTTCTCACTGTGATGCGCTGCTTGCTATCTACCTTGGTACCCGGCATGTCCACCTCATCGACGTATTTATCCTCGTCAGCATCGGAATATTGCTCATCTTCCTCCTTTTCCTTCTCTTTCTCCTCCTCATCCTCACCACCTTTAGAGTTGAGCTTCTCAGCTCTCAACTGTTTCTTGGCCTCCTCGACCTTTTGATACTCTTCCACAATTGCTCTGTGCTCCGATGGATCATATCCAGCCCACCTATTGAAATGAAAATCAGTGTTTGCATCTATCTATGTAGATAACAATTTTACAACAAAATCACATCAAAGAACCGTACCTATCGCGTTTACCGTCATAATCAAGTGCCAAATTAGGCTGTACAAACTCATCGGGTGCTATGTTAGCATTGTTGTACTTTGCCAGTGTTTTACGAGGTCTCTCGAAGCAGTCTTTTCTTTTGTGACCCAAGGCCCCGCAATTCTCGCAAGCACCTTTGCGATACTTTGTTGAAACCTTGTTGGTGGTACCCTTACTGTACCACTCGTCGATTTCACTGAATTTTTTTTGTTTCTCCGGCTGTGGTCGCTGGTGCTTTAGAGTTGGCCCCTACATTAATAGATGAATATATGTGTTAAAAATCATTTTTCAGCCCCGTAGGACGTATGTATAACCTTGACAAACAAGCAAAAACAGACCTGTGCTCCAAAATACCAAGGGGTCGAGCTGATGTACTGTGGAATGTGTGGATTGATGTCCCTACCCTCCTCGTCGACGGCAGCTGGTGCTGTACCAGCTTTCCTCGCTTCCTCGAGTTCTTTAGCCTTGCGCCAGTCCTCGCGGCTCTTCTTCCTCGGCTCATCCTCGAACTCATTCGCATTTTTTAGTATTTGCGACACTGGTGCGTTCGTCACTTGATTGGCCATGGTGTTTGTTTACCTGAGTTTTTGGGAAAATAAAATTTAACAGTATTGAAACTCGTCGTCGTCTGTCTAAGTATCTAAACTATGAAGAGGTAAGTAAAGACGTAAAGAGCCTGCACTTGTACTCTGCTGGTACTCTCTCTCTCTCTCTCTCTCTCTCCTGGGATTGACTGAAATTACAATACTCTCGCAAATTTCAAAATTCTCCACTTTATGTATGTAAATTTACATCTTACATTGATAATTGGCGCTTCGATATATCAAAGCTATCTCCTATATGTTGCACATTAATTATTAATTTAATTTACATTCACCAATTTTCACCATTAACACACATTTAACACACATTTTTTATGTATAAGTATATTTATATTTTTGGAGGACGACTTTTGGGTAAAAAATAAATTGTAAACTTGCCGCAAGTAGCACAAACAATGTTAACTTTTTATTATATATCTATAAAATTAGTTGCGGCTGGCTTATAATTAATTGATTGGCTCTAATAAAAGAAGTAATAATTATTTCGATCAGCGCCATCTAGCGTTGCGGATTTCTGAACTAAAAAGTGGCCCTAAACTTTTGAGCCAGAGCTTTAGCTCGTAGAGCCATTTAGTCAGTTATAAACCAGCCGCAACTTATGATAAAACTATAGAATGAAAAAAAAAACGATACCTGTGTTTTGGGCGGCAAGTTAACAATCTATTTTCTACCAAAAAATCGACCTCCTATGTGTTTATACTTTTGAAGATCAATTTTCAAGCATAAAATAGATTGTTAGCTTGCCGCCAAAAACACATGTATTATTACTTTTTTATTTTATAGCTTTATCATGAGTTGCGGCTGGTTTGTAATTGACTAAATGGCTCAAATCCTGAATGCTCTGGTTGAGAATTTTAGGAGCCACTTTTGGCCAAAAAATAAAGACCGCTAGATGGCGCTGATCCAAAATAATTATTGCTATTGCTACTTACAGTAAAGTCACTTTATTAGTTATAAACCAGCCGCAACAAATCTTATAGATAGATAATAAAAAGTAAACATTTTTTGTGCACTTGCGGCAAGTTTACAATTTATCTTTTACCTTAAAATCGACCTCCAAAACTATCAATATTCTACTTATCTTATATGGCTCATAAAATCGACAATATTTACCAAATTACAATACTCTTGACCTTTTACCATTAACTCATGCAAGCACAAGTTAATCAGTCCAAAAGAGACAACCGAAGAAAAAGGGTCTTAAAAAGAAGCAGTCACACGAAGAGTCTCCTAGGAATGAAGCATTGGATCTCACTTGATCAGAGAAGGTTGGGTTCTTTGTTTACTTATAACACTTCAAACTTACAGCTCTGTAACAAATGTATTTTTCAGTTAGTGAGATCCAATGCTCCATTCCTAGGAGACTCTTCCTGTGACTGCTTCTTTTTAAGACCTTTTTTCTTCGGTTGTCTCTTTTCGACTGATTAATTTACGTGTATATTTGATCGTGATTTACGATTTCTGTAACACAAATTTTGTTATGTACATATTATATAAGTTAACTGTTTATTGGAAATCTAAAGTTGAAGGGCTGTTCTTTCATTAGTTAATGGTAAAAGGTCAAGAGTATTGTAATTTTGTAAATATTGTCGATTTTATGAGCCATATAAGATAAGTAGAATATTGATGGTTTTGGAGGTCGATTTTAAGGTAAAA